TGTTTTGAGTCACACTAATCACAATTGAATTAAAATGCAATAAATGCACTACATATGCAAAGGCAATAAAAATTAATGACAATTAAAAAACTGAAGAAAAGGGATAAACGACTATCACCAAACTCGCGTTAACATTACAAACTTCGAACTGCACGAACCAACTGGTTAAAACTGAACAGAAGCAGTAAAAAATACTGGATAATGAGAACAAACTTTGTCACACTTGTTATCACAGATTGTAAAAACAATTAGTAAGCAAGCTGCTTGGAAAATTAATAAAATGATCATCATTCTGCTTTTCTGTTTGAAACTTTTGACCCATTTTAGGTGCAGATTCCCAGTTTACAATGAGTATCATTAGTTTGGACGCTTTAGCCTGAAAGCTGGGGTGTTTAAAAGTTACCCTAAAGCCGTAAATTACCCGCGCTAAAACCACAATTATGACCTCGACAGGCCAGTATTAATTACTGTTTTCATTAATCATGTCTTGGGCGGCATTCAAAACCTCCGACTTCCAAGTGGGATGTGAAACGGGGCGACTATTAATCCAGGCCGTGAAAAAACGATCCCCAGCTGCAATACACTTGTTACATGACACAAATTGTAAAGTAGGAGAACAAAGAGCTGAAGGGGAGATTTTATTGCATTATAACTATGAATCTTATGCAATACGTTGGCTCTTGTTGTTTGTTTTTACTGATTTGATGATATACCGATAGTAAACTACTAGCTGCAATAATGATTAAATTCGCTTTGAAAACTAACAAAATTAACACTGATCTTGGCCTAAACTAAAGCACTACAAGTCGTGCAACTTATTTTTTTTGCGCTCTAGTACAATATTCAAACCTCGTAACTCAGCAAAACTTTAACTCGTAGTTATGCGTGTACAATTAACAACTAATATTTCTTTCTAATAAATATTAGAAAAGTAAGGGGCTTAGCTAATATACAGGGTATCCCGTAAGCACAAGATCAAAAGGGTACTGCGATATTTTTTGCATCAAAAGAAGACGATCTGACCTAACTTTTATTAGCAAAATATGTCTGGCTCCTCTGCTATTGATGGTCAAATTTGTTCAAAAAAATCATCTTTTTTTCAAATATCAGGAGAATGGTACGGCGTATTTTGGTGAAACTCGCTGTGAATTTGTTCTTATGTTGTAAGACTAAAGAAGAAAACTAAGACTAAAGTTAGAAATTCCTCCATCCTTTGAACAAGTTGATTTCGGTTCTTCAACGTATTTTTCTTTTCCAGGGCGCAATCCGTAACATGGAACCCACATAAACTAATGGGGGCTCTTTTGCAATGTTCAACAATCCATTTCAAAGAAGACGTATGTTTAAGTGAGTTGAGTTTGCAACATTTTTCTCCAATGGTTCTTTGCTGTTTAGGGCTTGCTCATGAGTTGTAACCAGATGGCTGCCGATTATCTTTTCATGCAAGACAAGCTCTATGATATCAAGTTTGATACTGGAGATAAAGTGATTCAATGCGGTCGCCACAACGACATTTTCAAGCTGTGGTTGCAGTGGAGAGCCAAAGTGAGTAAACCAACAAATTTATTTGCAGATGCGATTTGTTTTACGCCAAATTTATTTATACCGGGTGGTCCAGAAATAAGCTGCGACCATCAACTTATCTTCTTCAAATGGATGCACCTATTTTTTATTTCAACTTCTTCCACAGGCCTTGATGAACTTACATAACTGACTCACGGTATAAAAGTCAAATGGGGCAAAAGTAGGTCGGGTATTGGCATGAACATGCACATAATGTAGACGGTTTATATTGGTCTTTTTAACTACGTGTTTTTAATGTTTTTCAGTTATTAAAACCTCTAATATTGTTCTCCATTTAAACCCCGTGTATTAGTTGCAAAGCCATCCTGATTTCAAAAGTTTTTATTTAATTTTAAAATTTTCCATCCACCTATACGCCTCTTAAATGTTTATTTTTACTGTTCTTACAAACTCTGGTTCGATCTATAAAAATCGGATTGGACTTAATACCGACTTTTCTTCGTAATTGTAATTCATAAATAAAGATCCTAATCAATTAACTCGAACGGTTAAGTTGTTTTCCTCTTATAGCTAGAGTTTTTTGGGGAAACTTTCAGCAAAAAGTTTCCCCAGGTGAGGCTCGAACTCACAACCCCGGCATCGCTCACGACTACTGTCTTATAAGTACCGTGCGCTAACCAATTGCGCCACTGGGGATCCATCGGAGATGGCCCATATAGAGTATACGTATATCGACCAAATTTATTAAATATTCATATATAAATTGAGATTAAATTTTACTTCACAGACGCCCCTAAAAGGTAAATGCTCAACTGAGGTGAACAATTACGGTTGTAAAATCGCGGTTACAGAAACATCGACTTTTTTGCACTAAACATTACAAAAACCCCACTTCTCAAATATACGCTTCAGTCGGGCTAAATTGCTTTATTTTATCGTTAGCACTGATAACAAAGTCGAAATTTAAACAGCAAAACAACAGTATTCTTGTAAGAATCCAGTTAACACAAATCACTTCTCACTCCACGCAACTCACAATACACGAAGCGTACACCTTAACCGATTACGAGGGAGCTTCGGAAGTTGGACCACCTCTCGAATCGAAAATACGCACCGTTTTCGAGAAAAGAATAACTTAACAAGTTAACTTTGCATAGAGGCTGAATAGAGACGAGGCGGAATGACTGTATTTAAGCGCTAATAACGCATTTTTTTCTTTAAAATTTTCTATTGATGGCTGTTTTCGAATAATCTTGAGAATTGTATTTTTCCTAATACTTTTAATGCCATGTAGATCCTAAAAGAAGCGTGTTCGAACTTGCGTTACTTGCACTATTGCGTGTAAAATAAATTTCTTCTTCTTCATTCTTTGAAATTTTGTAGTTGATTAATTTGCCCTTTTGATTTCATATTTTGCCGAAAAAGAGAATAAAAAACTGTAGAGGTACTTAATAGTAATATTTTGAGAGGAAAATTAATTTACAATCAACTGCTTCTCATAATAAAGAGTTATTTCAAGGCAATAATAGCGAATGCATATTTAACAGGGAGACGAAGGATTTGAAAAACACATGGATCGACTGATGGAACTATCTGAATATTTAGTGAAGAGAATCAAGGATCAACCTGACAAATTCTACCTCATTATGGAGCCAGAAATGGTAAATGTCAGCTTCTGGTATATTCCATCCCGACTGAGAAACATGCCTCATAGTAAGCATAGAGAACAAGAACTTGGAAAGGTACGTCAAACAATTTCATTATGTAAAAATACTGTTGCTATAAATCTCGAAATAATAACTTTTTTCATAAATGGGGCACAAAACATGAATATTGTCGAAAAATAAAGTAAATAAGTTTGTACATCCCTTCAATGGGGCGCCAAGCTGAGCTTCAAGCTCAGAATCTCAAGATTTCCGATAACTTCGAGCTCGACTTTCCAAATGTTTTTTTTATCTATTTATTAGATTTACATATTTTAATTCTGCTGTTATCAGTTGTATGGAGTTGTGTCTTGATGATCTTATGTATTTTCCATTTACATCTTCTCAAAAACTACTTACATCTTATTTGCCTAGATCTATGCATTAACCGAAATTTAATTAAATTTTCTTTTAGCAGAACAATAAGTCTGAAAATGGAAATATAACTTATGCCTGCTAATAGTGAGTTTTATCTTAAAATTTCGCAGAATTTTATACATTTTTCGTTTCTATCAATGGCACAGAATTTATTAATTTTCTCTTTCAAAACAAAAAACGCCTCTTAAGGGAAACGGTGTTTGCTGTTTAAATACGCTATAATTTAAAAAAAAAATTTTTCCTGACTGCGTGTAATTGTTATTATTATATTCTTTTCCTTCCTGAGTTTCAGTCAAAGTGTCAAGTAAAAATTTTTTATATAGTTTATTTCATTACGCTTCGACGAGACAAAAGCGCATCATCAGATTTTAAAATTTATACAAACTACAAACACCAATTTAAACTTAAAATACATGTTGTACAAAAAGTACAATTTTTAAAGAGTTAAAACATTCATTAGTTCTTGAGGAAAAAACCTTTCTTTTTGAGAGCAAAAAGAGATATTTTTTGCAAAAGAAATAAACTTTTGCAAAAACAATTTTTTTTGCCTCAAGAACTAATGAATGTTTTAACGCTTTATAAATTATCCTTTTCGTACAACATATATTTTAATTGTAAATTGGTGTTTGTAGTTTGTATGAATTTTAAATTATGATGATGGCGCTTTTGTCTCGCCGAAACGTAATGAAATAAACGATATACAAAATTTCTGTTTCACACTTTGACTGGAGCCCAGGAAAGAAAATAATATAATATACGCTATAATATCTTACTTAATGTTTGTTAAAAAGGAATTTCTAAAGCAACTATAGTCTTATCCTGTACATTACTTATGATGGTAGTTTTTGTATCAAATGCGCGTGTTTAAAGTCGATGAAAAACAAAAGAATAACATTCAAATTTTGTCAGCAGTTTTTTACTCAAAGTACATTATTATATTTTGCAATTAAATGTTTACCTTACAACCATTTTCAAGGGAAACACTAATTTAGGAAATATTTTTGTATTGTGCCAAGTCAAGTCAAGTAAAAAGTGTTCGGTTTCAACCATTTCGCACGTTTACGATTTAAATGTGTTTTGTTGTACGAGTACCGAATTTCGAAACTGATATTTTAAGGCATGAGAAGAAATTTTTACTAACTATAGAATAATAAAAGCGTGCACTTATAAAATTAACGCAATTTTCAGATGTGTCCAGTTTTAAAATCGCGAATGATGCAAGCTGGCACATTAATGGTAGGCTACCAGCCAGATGATCGGCGGCCTAACTTTTTCCGGAACATCATTTCTTCAGCGGCTGTTACTGAAAAAGATGTCGATTTCTTGCTGAACGAAATGGACCGGCTTGGACACGACTTGTAAATTGAATCCGCCTCTACAGAGTTTCGCTAGAATTTGTATTCGTCAAGTTATTCCTATACTTTGGTGTCTATTACAGTTTTCTCAACTTCACTTTTTCGCATCTTGAAGGAATACGTAGTATATCAATGTTTATTAATATCTCGTGCCAAAATATAGACAACATCCCACTGAATTTGTGAACAGTGGTCTTTAGTGCGAAATTTATGTACAGGATGTGTTTCTAGCAAACCAACATTACCTACCCATTTACAGTATTTATGATGCGATTGGATATTCAGAAATTTAGGTTATTCAGTTCGATTGATTCAGCTTAGGGCACCAGGATTGCTATCACCTATTACAAACCAAACGGTAGCGAAACGCGAACAAAAATCAACAATTAGCTAGTGGCTAAAAAGGCACATATGAAATATGAAAGGAAAGTAGAACGGGGATATATCGAACATTTAAAAAGTGAGGAACGCTTTCGGATATATTTCATTATTTCTTTACTAAGTTGAGTTTTCGGTTTTACGAAGAGAATACATTCTTCTCAACAGCGCATCGTTAATATTCGGACTGCTGCACGTTAACCAGAAGAATTCTTGGGTAGCTGAAGTGGGAAACTAAACTAGATTAAATGCCTTTTTGAAAAAAACCATTGCTTCTTGTCCGATAAGCAATGCATTTCAAATCCCCGAAAATACATCTTTCTATGAGAATAATGTTTAGGTATTGAAGAACTTTCCGATATTATATGTTTTTCCTTTGACTGCGTATAAAAATTTCGCATATCGATGCAGATTTAAATTAAAGAAATGTATAAAAATACGGCAGCTGCAAAACTCACGACATCGTGACTAATTGATTAATTATTTACAGCTGCATGCTATTTACAAGCAGTTGTGTGCACACTTTACTCAAATACGTAGTATTTAAATATGTAGTATTGGAACAATAAATAAATAGTTACGCCCCAGTATCCATCTTCGGGTACCCTTAAAAATAATTACCCGAAAGCAGTAACCAACGAGTTACAAGGCGAAAACGAAACAGGCCTTTGAGTAAACATTTTCCAAGGACCTGAAGATAAATTTTTAGGCCGCTACGACCTAATTTTTTGCTTAAAATGCGACTATACTTGCACGTACCCCCGGTCTATCATTCAAATACAGTCTGGTCTGATTCTTATACCGTTACTTCGATAATGGCTTATATAAAACATTATTACATATTAAAATAGTTATATGTACTATATTTGCTTAATATTCTATAAAAAAATATAAAATACTTTCCTTTGCAGAGCAAAGTTTTCTATTGTCAATAAGGCAGTCAATTAGTCAATTTCTCTATGTCGGAATATCGGTTAATTAATGAAACTAAAGGCATTAGTCAATTGTTATTATTATCTTAGCGGAATGTATAGTTTATTGATTGAATTAAATTTATTACATGAATTGTTTTTAAACAAGTTGGCAAATTTTATTAATAAATACGGTTTTATGAACCAATAGTATCATATGAAAACATATCAATGTAGGTGGCAGGAAAAGTCTTGAAACATTACTGAAGATTTTTCCATTGCGGCCTGTTTGCAAAATCACACGACGGTCTGAATGGGTCAAACGTTGAAATTTGAGCGTCAGAATTTAAATAAAATAAACGGAATTAAGTACTGAACGTAGATACTCCATATCATGTCTTAGATCACGATATTATAACACTACAATAGATATACATACCATTGATATCGAAATCTAATGAAACCAAAATAGCTTTTAATAAAAATGATGCACTTCAGTATTGGTTAAATAATTTGAAAGGTAATTTTGCATTATCCGACTATAAAAATTACTACTAACCATACAAAAATTCAGTTTTAGAAATTACGTTGTGTAAAAATATAATATCTAGAACTATTATAGATATCTAGATGTGTAGCTGATGCAATAATGTTGTATGATAATTGAAAGAATCTTTATTTAGAATCGTAATCAGAAAACTATATTTTTCTCTATCATTTATTTACTTTTAAATGTATTGTTATTGTTCAATCACACATTGTCTATTACGTTATATACTATCAATACAGTATAATATTTTCGTGTGGTAGAAGTTCGATTATATCATGTATCTACTCAATATGCTATTCTGTGCTCAAAGTTAAGCAAAAGACCGTATAAATCGAGCTTCTACCGATCACCATAAATATGCGTTATCTCTATATTGTAAATATACTCGAACCTATGCACCTATTGTTAACTCAGCACTTGATGTTTGCACTAAACGTTGTAATATAATAATTGCACTTTCACTATTATGAAAAAATGTTATAGACATATTTTTGTTACGAAATTATATATAAATATCCATTATAAAAAAACCCCAAAACAAACTGGGAAGGTATTGTTATTCTCAAAACTGGGAACTGAATCTTGATTAGGCATTCTAACAAAAATATGTCTTTCCTTTGTATATTGATGTTGTTTGCAATATAAATGTACCCGAAAGGAAATATTGCTCTTGTTTGTTGCTACTTAAGCGAATACTTCTAAATTTTGTCTAAAACAAGAATGTTTAAAATATTGTTTAATGCCCGATCAAATAGGTTTAACAATTATTACTGAGAAAACAAAATCGACGAACAAACAAGTGTTATATTCCTCGATCGGTGATAGAATTATTGGTGTTCAATTAGGCACTTATATTTGGTGCAATGCTTATTTATTCTTAGTTTGTGCTGTTTTTGACATTTAATCAGATGTCTTACGTAAATATTTATTTTCTATGATTGAGATTCAATTCATCATGATCTGAAAACATGACTTTGTGTCTTCATTTAAAATTTGGTAATTATCCAGTAGAAAGTATCCACTTAAAATTCTGGTCAACTTTTAGTAAATTATTAATTAACGATTAATAAGCCCCTCATGCTTTTCTGCCAATTTTAAGGCTGCGCTGCTTGCTATCTTGCGGAAAATTTCTTCTTTCGGTTGTTCTTAGCTGCTTACGCCATATTGTTATCGTTGTGATCGATTACACTTTAGACTCTAAGAGAAATGTAAATTTACATATTTTAATGTTACATATTATGTAAAAAGGTATAGAACCGAACGCATAGTCATCCATACCCAAATCCATTACGGCTTAATAGGCATCGAATTTTAATTGGTAAAAGTGGATGTATAAAAGAGTAGAAAAATAAAGTTATAGCTGTCTTTAGCATGTTTTTTCTTGTCTTATGACATTAAAATTTACTGCAAAAAATGATTTTGTTAAATCATTTCTATCAGCATCACGTATTGGGAACTCAAAAGGAGTATAGCTAACACTATAATCCTATATCCTAAATAAATACCTACATCCTGTATTTTATTCAGCTTAAGAAAATATGTAATTTTTATAGAACCAGGAAACATTTCAATTTTAGAAGCTTCGAGCTTTGGAGAGTATTATTAATTATCTAAACATCAGAAAAACATATTTCCTTATCTCCTGTTTTAATTACGATAATACGATTAAATCACACCTTAAATAGCAAAAACTATTTTTCCCTTAATAATATTGTTAAATATCTTGCATAAATTGTCCAGTTGATAAGTAAATATTTTGAAAACAACTGGATTTCAAAAAAATTAGCATACATTCTAATGAACTCGTTATGAAAATCACATTAAATAAAGAACAACAACAATATCGAGACCTTCAGCTAACCTTAGTTAATGTTAGTTGATATTTAAGCAAACATCGTGCGACTTGAACAGCGTATAAGCAATGAAAAGCTTTATAAGATATTCAAAATACAGCGATTTTCCCATTGAAAATTTGCCATATGGGGTGTTTTCGACGGCCACTGATGTAAGTACTACAATATTATGTTTATTTTAACAAAAAATATGATTTTACTGCTCTTTAATATTATTATTATCGTAATGTTATTATAAATCCACTATTGTAAACTCTGTATAGTTGTTAGTGCTTGAATTAATTGGTCGTGCTTGTATTATAAACATAAACTAATCCAAAAAAATCAGTGGATATCAATGATGTGGCTTATAAATCAAACATAAATTTCCTACATTTCTCATTTGAATGAATATATAGAGATTTTATATAATTATAGAGTTATCGTCTTATTAGAGAATAGAAGTTTAGGATCATCTCAGCATCATTTTGTCAATTGACAAATGCATGTTTTGGTCATCATCTTTTAATTTTAATATTACAATTCGCAATTGCTGGCTTGGTTTGGGTCAACAGCCGCCCCATAAAAAAATGTTGAGTTGTATTGTTAGCTTAACATTTTTTGTCGCCACATTTACGAAAAAAGTATTAATTAGGCAAAGATGTGTTAGATTATGTCTGATTTTCTTGCTTATTAAGTGATCCTTGAATTAACAAAAATAGGAGACCGTTTGTTTTTTGCCGTAATAGTCAAAAAAATTGGTTTGTCGATACTGCATTGTTCCTAATTCCTAATCCGCGATTATAGATTTGGTACGCTCTATTTTCCTCCTATATTGCTTAAGACCCGCTTTATTCATCACTTGAAAAAGTTAGTCATATAACGATATATGCATAATTTTTATATAATTCAAACAATTTTTGTGCAAATTGGCTTCCAGACTACCCCCAGAATTGGCGTTGCTATTGGGGATTACATACTGAATCTTTTCGAAGTTGCACATTTATTTGATGGGCCCTACTTAAAAGAAAAAAACCATGTCTTCAAAGAGGTAAAAACGCATTTAACATTTTATAAGCTGCATATACATTTTTTGTGTATTCCAGTCATCCTTAAACAGCTTTATGGCTTTAAGACCTCCAGAATGGAAAGAAGCTCGAGAATATATTCAAAAGTTACTGTCAGAGAATGACCCAACGTTAAAAGACAACAAGGAATTAATTGAAAGGTGCTAGAAATAATATAACACTAAACAAGCTGTTACCAAAGAAAGATCAATCACGGGGTTTTGATAAATAGACCATCATAGTTTTTAGGGTGGAAGGAGACATTAAGCACAGAAATTGAATGCTTTATAAATATTGGAAAACAATCTCTGAATAGAGGGTGTTGATGTTTCTAAAATATTTTTTCGGCTTTTATCAAATTCTCAAAGTTTATTGCTGATCGAATAATACACAATTTGGCTCAATTGTCAAGGAGATTTTCTTTTAACTTTGCTCCATATTTTTGTAGAGCATGAAGTTAAATATTTCAATAATTTGCTGGAAACCGTTGCACTCTATCGTGGTTATAACAGAAAAATCTTCAATTTTTCATCTTAATATTTCGCAAGCGTCATAAAAATATACTGCAAACTCGACGACCTGAGCTTTTCACACTTTCGGTCAAATAATTTCT